TCCCTTTTGTTCCTCTTTTTATTGTTTTATTGGGTGAAAACCAGGGAGGAGAGTTGGAGTGTCAGCTTATCAAGTTTGGGTAGTATGGGTTCCCAGTGAAACAAGTTTACATCTTTTTGAGCCTCCTGCTGCCTTTTTCTATTTTCTTATCGGTCCTGTCAAGAAGCAGAAGTTTGATTCAACAGTAAATAGATTATAAACTCATCCTGTTACCCATTGTTTGCCTGCAGACATGAACAAGAATAGTAAGATTTGGGGGATAATAAATAACCAAATTAGAATCTCTATAATATTTTTGATCCTAAAGTAAAGCACACTGAATTCTAAGGTGTGATTGCAACTCTTGAACCCCTATCCATTAACTGGTTTCTAAGAGAATTATGTGCGTGGAAGTATTTCTGTTATCTTGAAATGACATAGCAATCTCCAAGGAAGAACATTATCACTTAGGAATGAGGATAGGGTGGCTAAGAGAAAAATCAATGCACGAGTTTCATATTTGTGTCTGTCCTAAGCCTGAGCTAGTCACAGCTTTGCAACTAAGGGAAGAGTCTCATGAACTTGTCACCTCTTGGCTCTTGCTGGATCTGTACCACATGAAAAGCTTAAAGTGTTCTCAGATGAGAGAAAATTATTCATTTCTGTTGTCTAACGTTAATGTCTACTATCCTGTTTGGGCTGAATTTCTATATTAGCGTGATACATGCTCACTTTGTAGTGGGTAGCTGTTGGGATTGAACATAGGATTTTGTTTGCTCTAATACAATGTGGAAACTAAGTTTGCAAGGACAGTTGCAAAGCATGCGACGGTGCTCGATTTCTTTCTCACTGCCACCTATTATTGTAGATTACGCATGTGTTTGGTATTATTCAGAGAAGTTCAAGTCATTCTTGAATGGGTTGTGCTGGAGTATGTAAGTGTATAACTCGTTCTGAGCTCTTAACAGCTTAAGCTTTTAATTAGGTGGAAATTTAAAAGGTCTTATGTACGTCAAAGGTGTAAATTCTTCAAGTTACTGTATCATTCTTAATACTAAAGCTAAATGGTGACACAGAAACTTGTATTCAACATATTTTCCTTCAAATTCCTAGGTTGGTGAAACGGGAGGTAGTGATCATTGGTTTTATTTCGTTGTCCATTCACTGTGGAGGAAAAGTAGTAGTTGTAATAGGAACTTGCTTACCAGGGTTTAAGTGCATAAATTGTCTAATCAGATTTCTTTTAGTATAAGTCAATTTTATTCAACTGAATGCAGACTTGAAATTGCCTTGATATATAAAGTATTACTAGGAGTAATTTTGGTTGCTGTCATCTCTATATCAATTGGACATGCTCTATTCAAGTGTAATCAGAGAGAATGGAAGGACAAGGATGTAGTCCAAATTAAAAGCCATGAATGACCACCCAATTTTAACTTCCAACTCATGTTGAGTTCCCAATAAGCTAGGGCTTTTGTTCTTTTGGGCTACTGGTCATAAATTTTGGAGTGCTCTGAGGTGAAGCATCTTTCTTTAACTAATACTTTGACCTTACTTGCCTTGCACAAAAAAATTCTTAATAGTTTTAATTGTTGGTGATTGATTAACTGTTTCCTTATAGAGCCTCTTCCTTCCTCATTCTGACCCATACTTAATGGCTTTCTGCAGCTGCTACCCTTGCAAATCGAACATATACCATGGTTGCTGCCAATGACGTGCTTTTGGATTCCTCTGTTGTGAAGTACAGTCCATCAGACTGCCAGAGGCCAGAAGTTTTGAACAAAAATTTAGTGGAGGGAAACATTCTTCTTTGTGGCTATTCCTTCAACTTTGTTATTGGTACTGCTTCAATTAAGAAGGTCTCAGAAACAGCTAGGAGCCTTGGTGCTATTGGCTTTGTCCTGGCAGTAGAAAATGTTTCTCCCGGAACAAAATTTGATCCTGTTCCTGTTGGTATTCCAGGAATTCTAATCGCAGATGTTAGCAAGTCAATGGTGAGTCCGTGTTTGGTTTCTTTCTTGTTAATTGTTATGACAAGCAGAATCTGGGAACTCATTGGTAGAAACAGATGATTGCCGGTCTTACTTTTGCAGGTGTAGCCATTTCATTTACTATTCTATTCTTTGTCTCCTTGTCTTATGACTATGAGGTTTAAGCAAAAATGTTTGCTTCGCCACCAGGATAATATGCTGGTTATTCAGTTGTTAAATCTTGAAATTTGTCAAAAGTTAATGTGAAGGATACTTAATATAACAGTTGAAAGTTTTCTGCATTTAAGTGCTTTGGTTTTTTTGTTGACATGTACTAGGCAAATTGTACCAGTAAACACTTTGAGGTGCATCTAGATATGCTCTGATGTGCTAATATTCTGGGGGGCTTGTTTCATTTTTTCCTCCCAAAGTCTGAATATGTTTTTCATCAACATTCAATTACTGTTCGCCACCTTCGTGTAACATCATGGCTAATCACTTAATGTAGGAGCTTATAGACTACTATAATGTTTCTACACCAAGGGATTGGACTGGGCGAGTGAAGAGCTTCAAAGCAGTAGGAAGCATAGGGGATGGATTGAATCCCATACTCCACAAATCAGCTCCACAAGTAGCACTTTTCTCATCTCGTGGGCCCAATATCAGAGATTATAGCTTTGAAGATGCAGACATCCTCAAGCCAGATATCCTGGCCCCTGGTTCTCTAATTTGGGCTGCATGGGCACCTAATGGAACCGATGAGGCGAATTACGTGGGTAAATATTTCACTGTTACTAGTCCTAAATACTTGAGGTCTTGGATCATTGCTTACATAAAGATGGAAAGACACTTGAAGAGCTCAAAAGGCGGATTCTATGTATATTCTGGATCAGATAGGAGTAGTTATGGCAAATATATATTTTTTTACCTGGAAAATAATACTTGATATAGATATTCAATACTTGTTTCACTAATTTATAGTGATAGCAGGATACAGTAGACATAAATTGAGTAGGTACTATGGAACTGGAGAATTTAAAAGATCAGGCAGCTCAAAAAATTCTTTGTTAACTGGAGCAGGTGAGGAATTTGCTATGGTATCTGGAACTAGCATGGCTGCTCCACACATTGCCGGAATAGCAGCTCTTGTGAAACAAAAGCACCCTCATTGGAGCCCTGCTGCAATTAAATCTGCCTTGATGACAACATCAACAACCATTGACAGAGCAGAGAGACCTCTGCAAGCTCAACAGTATTCTGGGTCAGAAACAATGACATTTGTCCAAGCAACTCCTTTTGATTATGGAAGTGGTCATGTCAATCCTAGAGCTGCTCTGGATCCTGGTCTTGTCTTTGATGCTGGTAATTTACCTGTTGTTCCTTCTTTTATAGCCATGACAAAAGCTTACATGACACTTAGCCAGCCCTCCCCAGCCCTTACCCCCACCAAAAGAAGAAAAGAAAATAGGGGTTTAACGATCTTGACATTTCTTTTTCTGATGCATCTTTTAGGTTATGAAGATTACTTGGGTTTCGTATGCACTGTGCCTGGTGTTGATGCTAATGAGATAAGAAAATTCTCACATTCCCCTTGTAACTATACTCTTGGTCGCCCATCAAATCTCAACAGCCCCTCAATCGCAATTTCACATCTTGTGGGAACTCAGACGGTTACACGCACCGTCACAAATGTTGCTGAAGAAGAAACATATGTAATTACAGCAAGAATGGCGCCAGAAATTGCCATTGAAACCAATCCTCCAGCAATGACTCTAAGACCTGGTGCATCAGGGAAGTTCACTGTTACTCTCACTGTTCGGTCAGTAACAGGATCCTATAGTTTTGGAGAGGTTTTATTGAAAGGAAGCAGAAGGCACAAGGTCAGGGTTCCTGTTGTAGCCATGGGTTACAATCGATAGTTTGGTCATGCAATCTTGAAAAACACTCCTATGCTTGTGGTATTCTTTGGGTTCTGGGGAATAAGAAGATGCATAAAAGTAGATTATGTATTTTGTCCAAAATATAAAGTAATAGATGTAAAGTTAACTAATATGAGGGAGAGATCCCTAGTTTCTTCCAGTCATGTAAGTTTCGCTAATTATTTTGTAATACGGCGGAATGCCTTGTATTCCCCTCTACTATTGTGAGAGAAGTAGCCTTGTTTGGTAGGTCAAATCTTCCTTGGCTGTATTTTTTACTCTTCATCATGTAAGAACTAAATAGCAGTTTGCCCAATTATTGTATTTTACTTGCTTTGAGTTTCCCAGCTTTAATGCTTTGGTGAATCACTATTCAAACGATAAAGAATAACATTTCACTGGGTAAATTGCTTAGTTAGATTTCAAGTCGAAAGAAAGTTTACCAATCCGATTAGTGGACAATTTTTGAAGATGCAATGTTCAACTAACCGACCTATATCTGAAAAAGTCTACCATTGTCTGTGATTAATATAGAGTCCATGATTGATCCCATTTAGTCTCAAGAAATCAAGGGAAAGAATTTCGTATCACATAATTACCACTGCTCGAAATTGAAACTAACTTCTCCGCTCAAGTTATTGATCATGGAAGAATCAAATCATCAGGTCTCTGTTTCACAGTACCACCACTTGTTTCACATTTAGTCTCTGTTTCAATTCGTTAAAGATGCTTGGGATGCTGAATTAAGATGTAGAAACATTAAAATAACTGGTGAAAGAGATTAATACCATTTCTGAAGATAAGGGATCATTGAAATCTGAACTTTACGAGAGAAGAATATGCACAAACTTCAACTCTTCATTGAGGCTCACAGCTACTCCACTTGGTTCTTCAAGGTCAAGAGTAATTAATATTGGAAACCATTCAATCCAGCTTTTTATTTTGTCGGTTTTAGGCAGATTCAATGGCTTTAGATGACAAAAAGACTACGTCAAATTGGAGATCAAGTTTCATGAAAGTCAAAATCTGTCCAATCAGAATAAACTTAATCTCCGCTTGATCAAATTTTTTCAAGTATAGCACACAATGTCGGCCACTTGTTGTCCCTATAAAAACTGCCCTTAGGCTTGAAGACTTGATCAAATGCATCCCTACATTATCTAAGAACAGCTCTAGTTACAATGAAGAACAAATTTCTCTTAACTTCCTTCCTTTTCTTCATAATCCATACAAATTTGATATTCTGCTCAGCAGCTCCTGAACCCCTTCCTCCGGTGCTAGATGTAGCAGGAAAGCTTCTCCGGGCTGGTGTAAATTATTACATCTTGCCTGCTATCATCATTGGCAATGATATTGGAGGCGGGCTAACACTAGCAAATGGAACTTGCCCTCCTGAGGTCATCCAAGACAATTATGAATTCACTGATGGAATCCCACTAGTCTTTTCTCCATTGGACCCCAAAAAAGGCATCGTTCGCGTTTCTTCTGATACGAATGTCAAGTTCTCTAGTACGTCAAAATGTGCTCAATCTAGCGTTTGGAAGCTCAGTGAGCTTGATGCATTGACGGGAAAGCACTTTGTTGGCATTGGAGGAGTTGAAGGTAACCCTGGTCCTAAAACTTTGGGCAGTTGGTTCAAGATTGAAACTTTTGATCGAAGCTATAAGCTAAAGTTCTGTCCTTCGGTCTGCAAGTTCTGTAAAGTGATATGCAAAGATATTGGAATTGTTTTCCAGAAGGGCAAGAGACGTTTGGCCCTGAGTGATGATCCCTTCAAGGTTATATTCAAGCGGGAGTGACGATTTGATCATCAAATGAACGAAAAGTATGTATACCCCACCCAAGACAAACTAACAAACCTTATTGCAACTTGCGAGCGCATGCTCAATTATTCCCAAGTTGGGGGGGGGAATGAGATTACAATATTTACAAGTTTGTTTTAGTTTCTGGCATTTTAATTTCCACAATTAAGTGTAGGATGCCCGGTTAGGGAATGATATTGGGATGATGAGATAACCCGTGATAAATATGATTTCTCTATTCAAAAAAAGGGGATTTTGTAGGACTGAATAAGGTAGTTAATTTGGAGCTCACAAAATAAAGTGCAATACAATTCAAAGAATTACTCGTATGACTCGATTCCTACCATGGATAGAAACGTTTTTCCCCGTACTCGTATGACGAATGAAGGAACGAAGGACTTCTAAGAAACTCTTCTGCTCCAAGAAGGCATTTTATCCAACCCAATCCATACGTTGTCGTGGAAGACGGTCACTTTTGTCCCAGTCTTTCAACAAAGAATTTGAGAAGCCAAATCTGCATCGACGGCTGTATGCTGTGTTATTGTTTATTCAAAGTAATCACCAGAGCATTCAACCTAAGCAAAACGTTACGTCTACGGTGAGAACGAGAAGAAGAACCTATCAACCAGTTGAAAAATCAGAAGTGAAGGAGATGGAGGCAGGTCACAGCCAAACATGGTTCAAAGTCGTGGTCGAGGTCGAGGCCCGGACCATTTCACATCGATTTCCGTATATCGGTTTTGATTTCGGCGAAACACAAATTTTGAAGTATTTAATATTCTAAAAATTGTGAATAATATTCAAAAATATGCTAAATAAAAATAATTAAAAAATTAGCAAAAGAAAATCTGTAAATGTAAATTTGCGAGTTGACTTGAGATGACTCGGCTCGACTCGATCAAGACTATCCGTATCGGAGACTTCTCGGCCGAAATTTCGGCTAGTCAAGTATTTCGGAGTCATCTCGACCTGATATCGTATCGGAGGGTCCGTTCCAATGACGACTCGGTCCAGTCATCTCGGTCTCGGCCAAGACTTTGAACCATGCCCAAACAGAGAATTCACATATAATGAAGGAAGAGACTTGTGTATCCTACCTTGGTTCAGTTTGTAATTTGCCACATTATCTATGTGCAAGACAGCAAGTCCAAACCCAAAAAAGCATAACAACTTTCGAAGTCAAGCGATGGTTGTAGAACAGAGATTACTACGTTATGCCATTTTTCTTGCTAGTCTGCTCCTGTTTTCCTCATCATTATCTCTCAGTGCCCAAAACGTGCATTATAATTCAACTGCCTATCTTCCCGCTTCGTGGATCAACCACATCTCTACTTCCATGGTCATCAACGACGCAGATGGAAGTCTAACAATGGCACCCATCCTCCTGACTGAGAGTGATGGACGAAGTTATGTGTGCGGCTTTTACTGTAACACGGGAGGTAGTGAATGCCTCTTTGGAGTCCTCATTTCCCCAGGTGGGCTTCATATTAATAGTGGAGATCTAGTTTGGTCTGCTAACAGGAATAATCCTGTTCAGAATAACGCAAAGTTGCAACTAAAGGAAGATGGAGATCTGGTTTTGGCAAACTCTGACGGCACCTTAATATGGTCCAGCAACACTAGAGGAAGGTCTGTTTCAGGCTTAAACTTGACAGAAATGGGAAACCTGGTCCTATTTGGCCCAAACAATGAATCCATTTGGCAGTCTTTCGATCATCCCACCGACTCGTTACTTCTGGGACAAAAGTTGGCTCCTGGGCAGAAGCTGATAGCTAGTGTTTCCGCATCCGACTGGAGTCAAGGTCGGCTTTCTCTTGCTGTTGGCTCTGATGGCTTGTCAGCTTACATAGAGTCTGATCCACCTCAAAGATACTATGTGTCTGGCATCAATAGTTATCGTTATTATGAGTTCAGGAACGGAAGCTTCAATGACTTTACCATTCCTCCAGCATTAGTAGCTCAATTCATGAAGTTTGGGCCCGATGGGCATTTAAAAGTGTATCAGTGGGGAGCAACGGATAAATTTATAGAGGTAATTGATCTTTTGAACCCGTATGTTGGTGATTGTGGATACCCTATTGTGTGCGGCAAATATGGGGTCTGTTCAAAAGGGCAATGTGGTTGTATTGAAACAACCAATGACCAGGAGGGCTATTTCAGCCAAATAATGTTCAGACAACCCGATCTTGGATGTTCGTTACTCACTCCAATTTCTTGTAATCACTCCCAAGAACATATTCTTCTAGAGCTAAATAATACATCTTACTTTGCATCTGATTCAAGCTTAGACAGCATAACGACGGTAGTGGAGGACTGCAAAAGTAGATGTCTAAGTAGCTGTTCATGCAAGGCAGCTCTGTTTTCTCACAATGGAAATCGATGGGATAGAGGCAATTGCTCATTACTAAATGAAGTTTTTTCTTTTATTGACAATGAGTATTATATCGGATCACCTTATAATACGACTCTCCTCGTTAAGGTGCAGAATACTCGTGTCAACACGTCAAGGCGTAAAACAGTTATACTGGCATCAACATTTGGGGCTTTCTTTGGTGTGGTATGTTTAATCGGCTCTTGCCTGGTTGTTTCAAGGAGAATATTCAAGGAATCCAATGAAATTGAGGGGGATTTTCTGAAGAAGGTACCGGGAATGCCTACAAGATACTCTTATCAGAACTTGAAAGCAATGACAGAAGATTTTAGCAAAAAACTTGGGGAAGGAGGATTTGGTTCTGTTTATGAAGGGACACTAATTAATGGCGCAAAGATAGCAGTCAAGTGTCTTGATGGTTCGGCTCAACTGAAGGACTCGTTTTTAGCGGAAGTGCAGATAATCGGGAGCATCCACCATGTTAACTTGGTAAAACTTATTGGTTTTTGTTTTGAGAAATCCCACCAGCTTTTGGTTTACGAACATATGGCTAGTGGTTCTTTGGATAAATGGATTTTTGGTGAAATGCAAAGCTATTCTCTTCCATGGAGGACGAGGAGAAAAATCATCTCGGACATTGCCAGGGGATTAGCTTATCTCCACGAAGATTGCAGTAAGAAAATAATTCATTTCGACATCAAACCCCAAAATATCCTTCTAGATAAAAATTTCAGAGCCAAAGTTGCTGATTTTGGGTTGCCAAAGCTGATTGAAAAGGATCAAAGCAGAGTTGTTACAAGGATGAGAGGAACACCAGGTTACTTGGCTCCTGAATGGTTGAGCTCCACTATCACAGAAAAAGTGGATGTTTATAGCTTTGGCATTGTGATATTGGAAATCCTTTGTGGACGAAAGAACTTTGATTCTTCGAAGATTGAGGAAGACAGGCATTTGCTTAGTATTTTCAAGAGAAAAGCTGAAGAAGAAAGACTTGAGGACATGGTTGACAGGAAAAGTGGCGATATGCTGATCCACGTCGAGGAAGCAGTGGAGATGATGAGGATTGCTGCATGGTGTCTGCAGGGAAATTTCAACAACAGGCCTTCAATGTCATTAGTAGTTAAGGCGCTGGAAGGTTTGCTAGTTCCTGAAACCAATCAGCTCGACTATGACTTCACGAATTCATCAACAGTTAGGACAGAGGCAGCTGGTGATCAGGGACAAGTGGTTGTTTATCTTGGTAGTCCGATACTGCCTTCAACTTTGTCTGGGCCGAGGTAGATGAAAGACATCAGTTTTTACGTTGGTAGTCTCTAAAATCCCAACGAATAATGTTACAAGTCTCAGAATTCTGAAATTATGTCAGTGTATTGCTGAATTATTCCGCCCTAAGTGCGTTGGCCTTTTGCTGAGAAATGCAAGTCCCTATGCATAACAATCAATAATCTTGATCTTACAACTTTCTGTAAAAGGCATTTCTTGTTTTGTCTTTGCGGGAATATCCGAAAGATATGTAGACATCTGCAGGCCTCCCAATTCCAAAAACATCAACACATTTACGTGCTATTACTATGGGATAAAACCAATCTAATGTGGAGTACAGAGATATATATTATATTTTTTTATTATTAGTGTGAAATATCTATTTTGTCTCTTATTTAAAATTATACACAATATAAATTTATATTTCTTAAATTCGATTAAACTCAATTAAGTTCGATTGGGCTCGATTTGCACAAGGTCAAACTTTAGCTAGAGTAAGTAAAAAAAAATAAAAAATCAAACTTGACTTTCAAGAGTTCGACGAACTCGAGTCTGAATATTTTAATTTGAATCAAGATAGCGCACTATTTGAGCTCGACTGCACCTCCAATACTGTCCATGTATTGAATTTAGGGATAATTTCAAACACCTTCCTTGAAGTTTTTAATAATTTCATTTAGCTCCCTCGAAGTTTATAAAATTACACACACCTCCCTTGCCATTTAAACTGACAATCATATCCTTAAATATGTTAATGAAATTCCCTTGTTTGGTATGCTTATACTTAGAATGATTTTTAAAATTATTTATTTTATTCTTTTTAATTTTATTTTTTTGTCAATAAAATGGTAGAACTACCATTATTACCTCTAGTTTATATTGTAATGAAATGTTAAACTAGTGATTTTTTGATGAGTTAACTTTATATGTAATCCAACATTTTTTTCCTAATCTTTGTTTTCTATTTTTTGGTATCAAAATTAACAAAAAATAAAAAAGAAATGGTCCAAAACCACTACTAAATTATGATAATCCCACTGCTAGAAAAATTCATAAACTCTAGATCAATTATTTCAACATTTTCTTTTCTATCTTATAAATCTAAATTCATAATAAAATGCCATCAAAAGTATCCTATCATAGTGATAAAATTATTATTATTATAGTTGTTTATCAAATAATAGCTATGGACATAGAAAATTTGGCACCTTTTCTTTATAATTACACTAGATAATCTTATAATTATATAGAGTAGTAAATTAAAACTCATTACACAAGGGCATTTTTGGATATTCATTGAAAAATTTGGCCAAGTGAATAGTTATTTTAAGGTTTTGTTACTATAACTATCAAATCAAGGGAGGTAGGTGTAATTTTTTAAACTTTAGGGGAGCATAGTGAAATTGTTAGAAATCTCAGGGGAGGTTTCTGAAATTATCCTTTGAATTTAAGTACTTGGCTTGACTTTAGTTCTCTTCTTCTTGTTCACGTAAGTCGAAAATGAAAACTTGTAGCAGTTCCAGCCTCCCCTAGTAAGAAAGATGAAGTAAAAAAGATGCGCACCAAATTAAAATCATTTTCTTTGACTTGATGCAGCACTTCTTTCCAGAGCACTCCATACAACCGTTGGCGGCAGTACAAAGATTAGGACCAACGTAAAAAGATAGATTCACATATTACTTGGGACTTGTTTTTAACTGTTTTTGAATTTATAAAATTGATTTTATAATTCTGGAAAATCGGCTTTTCAGTATAACAAATGTTTTCTCATGTTTTTGCTTAAAAATCTATTTGGATAGATGTGTGGATGTTCTGTAAAAAGGCATAAAAACGGATTTTGACTAATTAATTTCCAAAATGCTCTTATACATACGTTTGTGCCAATTAAATAATTTTTCTATACGATTAATTGTTTTCTTTGTAGAGATTGAATTATTATTAATTGAAATTGCGTGTAGACTGAACTAAATAATTCATTTAATACGTCAAGATAGGGATAAATCGAAGTGGTCTAAAGATTAAGACTCCAAGAGTTAGATGTCCGGTTCAAATCTCCCTTTCCACCTCTTAAATTCTAGGCCTTCCTCACTAATTTTTATTTTTTTTGAAAAAAGTGAGATAAGAATAAATAAGAACAAAGACAAAGATGAGGAGAGACATACGGCAAATAGAGATAGAAGAGTGCATTTTGAAAACCAAGTTGATAGTAAGGCCTCACTGTACTATCACTCCCAAGTTAAGGCAAGGAAAGATGTTAACCATGAGTGCTGGCATACCTAAAGCACTACAAATTGTTTTCTGAAGAAGTTAATAAGAAGTAATTAAAGCCCGCCAATAGCTTTAAATTGGTATCATGTCCACCTTTGTGTTCTGACAAATTTTGATAGGATTTGCGCTTCAAAGCACCAAAATGAAGTCAAAATATATCCAATCAAAATGGAAATGGAACAAATGTATTTCCAAAGTCAGTTTCAGGCAGCCCACAGCTCCATCATCACATGGTGCATGGCATTAGCTATTTAAGTAGAAGATGGAAGCCGTTATCTACATCCTCAAACACTGCAACCTTTAGTTGGTTAAGTGATATGCCAAGAAGTATCAAATTAAATGAAGACATCACTATTTTTCATCATTTCATTCCTTGCCTTTTCCATTTCCTTAAACTCCTCCTCCTCATCAGCTGGTGAATTAGCACCTGAGCCGGTGCTAGATACAGCTGGAAATGTGCTTCGAACTGACCGCGACTACTACATATTACCTGCCAAAGTCCGCGGTAGGTTCAGAGGTGGAGGGCTTACATTATCGAGCATTGGCAATGACACCTGCCCAGTTGGCGTGTTTCAAGAAATGTCTGAGCAAAGAAATGGCATCCCCTTGACATTTTCGCCTGTGAAACAGAGATATGGTGTTGTTCGTACCTCGACAGATTTAAACATCCAATTTGCTTATCCAGAAACCTGTGGCGAATCTCCAGTTTGGAGGGTTGATAATTATCTTGATCCATCTGCTGATAGCTTTGTATCCATCGGTGGAGTTGTTGGAAATCCTGGTCCTGCGACTTTAGGCAGTTGGTTCAAAATCCAAAAATTTGGCTATGACTACAAGCTTGTTTATTGTCCCGCAGTCTGCAGCTATTGTGATGCTATTTGCAAAGATGTTGGCATATTGTACCAGAATGGGGAAAGACGTTTGTTTCTGAACGATTATCCACTCAGGGTCGTATTCAAGCTGGCATGAAAATCACGAGATTCGAGATCAGTTGATTTTCTTGGATGTATTCTATGTAATGCTATAAGCTTGTGACAAAAAATATAAAATAATACTGGTAATAAGGAAATCTCCCTGGAAAATGGGGGAAAACCATGTAATAAGGAAGCATTCTAAGTGCTTAATTTTTTTGTTTGTTTAAGTACTAGTTTCATAGCATGTGCGTTAGTGTTACATATTGCATACGTGCATTGTAACTCTTATTATTAGCTATGTTACTTTTTAACGATAAATAAAGCGAGTGAAATATAATCTACATTTTTTATTTCGCTTCAAATCATGTGTTCCTTTCTTTCTTTTTTTCCTTTTTTGGGGTGAAATAAAAATTTTCCACAAAATACAAATATTCAAAGAAAAAGTTCTGCTTCCCATAACACGTGCACGAGCAGCACGACAATATATGCAGTAGTAGTACAAATAGAAGTTCTCGAATTTATAGCAAAAGTACCATGTTATTTCTTTACACTATTTAATTCTGGTAGTTTTTATATATTTTTTTTCTTTTCAACATAATAAGTAGATAACATGGCAACTCCATTCAGCCAGAATTTTCGTCGTCCTCTCACGTGCCCGGCATGTGGATTGGAATCATCATGTTGTTCGCGCATCGCGCGTTAGTTTTCCCATCTGGCCTCGCCTGCCAGTGTCCCATGTGCCCGTGCTTCCGTCTTTCTGATCTTCTGCTGCATTTGCTCTCTTCCCGCTGCATTCTCTCTCCCACTACATTCTCTTTCTTTCTTTTTTTGGTTTTTTTTTGGGATAATGTTGCTCTATCACTTATCCGCATCCTCTGGAACCTGGTACAAAATTTTGTTGACCTCCTCCTTTGTTGTAATAGGCTTTCTTCTTCATCTCCGGTGAGGTCAGATCTTCTCTTCAGGTTGCCTCTGCTCTGCCCCTCTTTTTTTTTTTTTGCTAAAGTTCGTATTTCTTTTGTCCCTTGTCCACTGACGTGCAGTTTTCTGCTTTTTTTTCTCATCCACGGGCTTGTTACCGCCCAAGGACGTGCCATCTTCACTGTTGGTTGCAGATCTTGTGCTTTCTTCTTTCTCTCCAGTGAGGTCGGGTCTTCTCTTCAGGTTGCTCTGTATTCATGTTTTTCTCCTTCTCTGTAAAAACTTGTTTGATGCTAATGGTTCTTGTGTTTTGTTGTGCAAGCATTTTTTTCATTGCTTTTAGGAGACTGGTTTGTGATTTCTTTGGTAGCTGGGATTTGGACTCTCGAAGCCGTTTGTTTGGCTGCCCCTCTTTACTTGTCTTTCCCTCTCCTCCCCATCATCAAATTCCAGCCACATCTTCTAATGTAGCTCTCTACTACTTACAGACGGAATCCGCAGTAGAAGTTTTTGAACTGAAAAAGGAAAGCTAATCTCAGGGAGATAGACAGAAGAGAAGGTACGAGTACGACGGCGTCCAAGATGCAGAGTATCGCGGTTCTTCAGACCGAGAATAACCTTGCAACCGGAGGTATACTTTCTTCAACTTTCTTCCTTCTCTCAATATCTCAATCTCTCTCTTTCGCGCTCTTTTTTCTTTTGTTTCAATTAATCTGAATTTCTATCTACATTTCAACGGAGTAGTAGTATATCGTCCTTAATTGGTGCACAACATTAGGAAATCTTGTTCTCTTTCGTTGTTTCCCCTCTTTAATAATCGAACCACTTCAAGAAAAAAACCGACCTTGGGAATTATTTTGCCCTAATACCCATTGTGGGTTTCGTAAATTTTGGTAATTTATTATATTTAGCTAAGAGAATTGGAGGTTTTGGTATAATTTGTGTAAAATTCCACGATTTTTCGGCTAGCAGTTTGGGTTTTAGAATTGCTGGCTTTGTCTGAATTGTTATCTCTTCTATATTTAATGGATATCTGAGGATCATTTAGTATCTGAAACTAATAAATCTACCAACGCTTACAGTCATGAGTGTAGAGTTAACTAAATATGTTAACCTCTTTATGAATAACTTTTTAAGGACTTTTATGCTAATTCTTCGCATTCAAAAAGGAGATAAATGGAAGAAACATTATTTTCTGATATTAGAGACACCTGCGGGAAAGAAGATGATAGCAAGTTACTGACCCCAGGTAGTATGAGATGAGATTGTATTGTAATTGAGCAGGGTTCACTTATCATAATAGATTGAATTTTGTAGTTTTGAACTGATACATTGTTCTTTTGATTGACTGAGTGGCAATTTGGGAGCCATGCAGTTTGTTTTTCTTGTTTTTATTTTCTTATAATCCAAACCTGAAAAGGATTTGTTTTTTCTCTTCCGAGTGATTGTTTGGTTTTCCAAAGATTTAAATTTTCCAGAGATTGATTGTTTGGTTTTCCGAAGGTCAATCTCTTTAACCCAAGAAAATAATAATATTAAACTGAAAAACAACAAAAATGTTGTCTTGGGAAACTATTGTTTATTTACATGGCTTGGAAGTTGAAATTGTCAGAAACAAGAAGCTCACTTTCTCTGATGGTCATATTTCTTCATCAGGTTGACCATTGCCAAATAGAAGAGCTTAGCCACAAGACATCTCATAGCAATATCACGTCTTATTGTTGAAAAATTTGATTTTATGGTAGTGTTTGTAGGTTGAGTTATGACCCATGATTTATGCTCAGGCCCTTAAAATGGAGATATATAGTTAAGAAAAGTATAAAGGATTGGGGTGGCTTCAACATTTACCTTCAACTAATTTTCCCTTGTGTTTTTCCTTTTTGAATTCAGCTTTGTGGAAATTGTGGCTCCTGTTTTCTCGCGGGATGCTTGGCGATGTGTTTGGCATATGATTCAGGTTCCCTTCTCTAACTTTGTCATTTGTATACGTATGTTTTAAGCCTTGTTGTACCTCCAACTATTTTTGCTTTTAGCTGCTCTCATTAGCCTTGGTTCTTTCCAGCTTAGAGCTCACACTGATTTTTTACTTTCAATAACATTTCTAGAATGATTTGGTGCATGGTTGGGGATTGGATTTTGCGCTAAGGAGATGTGTGGAGGTCAGTGGTTTTATTTGTTTCTTATCACTGTATTATTTGAAAGATTTAGAAAAGAAGGCTTGTCTACCTGCTTTTCATATTCCTGTTGGAAGGAGAGATCTGCGGGACAGTGGCATGTAAAACAGATAAAATTGGAAAACATGTATTTATTTCAAATGGATGTCTGCGTATTATCAGTTTCATTGTAAGTGTATTTTGCCTGTGCAGCCTGCACATGAGAAAATTGATGTGGTTGACTCTCAGTGGATAGTTCATCAAGTTATTCCTTCTCTGGGAAGTCAGGTCAGTTAACTACTTTATTACAACCATCGGGACTTGTTTTTCCTTTTCCTAGAGGTGATTAAAATAATGAAGTTTAGTTGTTTGCAAATGTTGTTCTGTTCAACTTTAATTTCCATTTTTGAGCAAATGGTTCTTCATTTATAATATAAGCAACTTTTTAGCAGCAACCCCCTTATTTACATTTTTTTCTTCCACGTCAGTTATCCTACTTGTCCCTTGATCTGGTTTCCCCTCATTTAGATTTGTTTTGTTGATAATGATGCTAACAGCTTCAGCTTCGTTGATTCCAGGGTCAATCTGAAAATGGAAAAGCTCCTTGGCAAGGGGTATGTAAGCTGTTACTTGTTCGGTTTCCATTTCAACCTTTCTGTATATTTTTTTATTGAGGCCTTTTCTTTGTCCTTCGTTTTTTTTGCAAAAGTCAACTCTGAAAGCTTCTTCATCCAATTTTATGGTAATCTGAGTTATTCTATATCACCTACATTCTAACAATCATGTTTAAATTAGGATTCATAGGTCTTATATCTGCACTCTGTTTGAATTGCATGATTTTGCATTGAACTGAATTTCATTAGATTTGTCCAAACATCAAGTAACTAGCTTGAATTCTTTTCTATCTAATTTGGTAGGTAAGAGAGAGGTGCAGAAGTGAGTGGGTGCAGTTTCAAGATCGCCTAGCCAATGCAGATAAGAAATATATTGAACAGTTTGGGAGGACTTTGAATTAGCTAATTTCTGGTTATTACCTGTAACTTTCTTCATTTTCTTTTGTCCTTTTTCCATCTTTGTATCATTGTACGGAAGGGTGTTTTGGAGCCCAATTCTCTCACTCGATGTCTTTAAATTTTTTTTTTTTTTAGCTTCTAGCGGGCGGTAGCTGAACTTCCTGTAGTAGTGAAAACTAACGATCTGAAACTGGAAGAGAGTGATCCTTTTTTGTGTATAAATAGATTAGACTTTGCTTCATTTGACTCCCATATTGCCAATATTCATTTCCTTTTCTTTCTTTTTTCTTTTCCTTCTGTTTTTTTTCGCCCTTTTTTCCTTTTTCTATTTTCTTGAGGCGGGGAGGTGTGGGTGGGAATCCGTTGGTTGCCTCATACTGAACTCACCCGCTTACAGTTGTTATTTGGAGAACCATCCCCTGTTACCACTTTATTGAGCTTATTACCATCAGCAGTGGGATTATATGAGTTGGAGTACTTACCTACTTTCTGTTTAATATTTCACTATTAAGTTGCGAATTTGGAGACGGAATTTCTGTTATATGCCAAATTTCTAATATTCTGGGTATCTCTTTTGCAGGAACGAGGTATTTGAACAACAGAAAGTTTTGTATCCTTTTAAGTTTTCTTGCATTTGGGTATTGATACTACTCACCTTTATTGCTCTGACTCCTACTTCTTTGCACAAGTTCCCTTTGACCTGCAATGCTTCTTTACTTTTTTTTTCTCTTAACTTCTTGTAGCTCTGATTGGAAAAGAAATATAGAGACATTGGAGAAAAATAGTGTAACCAGTCTGAGGACATTGATCAATCTTGGTTCTGAAGTGTACATGCAAGCTGATGTTTATGTCTCTTCATACCATATCAATGTCATTTTACTTGGTTGTACATAGGATTAGTATACATTTGAAGTGTTTATCAAGATATGAAAGAATTCATTTCTCTTTTGTTTGAGGTGTGTGTGATT